TCTCTTAGTAATTCTTAGCCTTTATAGAAAGATGTGGATGGTGAGAAAAAAGACTATGCCTTAGATTCCAAGGGTTTTTTTCCACCATTAATTCTTTAGTTCTTCCTTCTCTTCAAACATCCACTCAAGAAAAATACAAGGATCATCTGTAGGAATTGACATAAGTATTATATAGCAAGCAATTAATGTGTAAATGCTTGCTTTTGAAAAAAATCCTCCTATGAATGTTACAAACAACTTCAACAGCCCTTGCAGACTTGCAGAGAAACTTCACTAGAACAGAGAAGGAGTCAGGATCAGGTCTGTGTCCCTGGTTTTGCAGAGGGGCTGGTTGGAGCTGTGGGCAGCTAACATCTGCCAGCCAGCTGCTGCCTAGCTCTGCACCTCACACCCGTTTCTGGTATTAAAAGTTTCCCAAAGCACTCTGGTGTGGGGCTCCTGCTCAACAGCTCAGTCTTTTTTTTGTTTGTTTTTCACTTGGTTCATGTTACCTAGTTATCAACTCCACAGAATTATGGAGCTAAACCCCCAACCTCCCAAATAAGTGACCAGATACTGGTATTGCTTCAACTAACCCTGCGGTGTTAGTGGAGCTCTGACATCCTCTGGGCTGACAAGAAATGCCCACTTGCCTTCATACAGGTTTTTCCTTTGGTTTGGTTTGGTTTGGGTTTTGTTTGTTTTGAACCTGTCTGGAGATGAACTGGCACCGGGTAACACCGACCCCAAGTCATACAGTATCTGGCCACCTGCCGTGGCTGCTTTAGTGGCGAGACCGAACTTTGCTGCTGGCGTTTCCTTTTACCGACTGCCCCGATGGGTTTTTACCTCAGGTTCTGCGGTGGGTAAGTCTCAAACAAAAGACGCAGCTCCCTGAGCACAGAAGGCCCTTCTGCAGCAGAACGGCACGGCTGTTATTCACGCTCTGCCCTGGCAGAGGAGCAATGGGGCGGGGCGGGCCGGGAGGGACAGGCCGGAGGGACAGGCCGGGCCGGAGGGACAGGCC